GAGAAGGCAGATTTGGTGAGGCTTAGTTTTTGGTGCTGGCAGAGAAAGCGGATGATTGGTTGCATGCCCTATAGGCTCTAGTATTTTTGGTTTAAAACTGACTACAAGCAAATAAGCTTTGCAAGAAAATTCTAAAAACAACAACAACAAAAATAAAACAAGCAGAAACCTGTCCTTATTTAGTTATTGTTGAAAAATTGTTTAATGATCAGATTATATATACAAATATATATATATATTACACATTAACAAGCTATTATATATACAATATTTCTTTTCTCCTGGTTTAAGTATAGTATATCTAAATTGTAGTAAAAAAATATTTTATTTATTATTATTTCTTGTAATTGTATCTAATCAAAACCACGAAATCACGTGCTGTTTTATGTTAAGCTACGCACCGACAATAAACACCAGCCTACATGACTTCTTGTAGTAGGTATGCATACTCTACAAATTTTGTATGCCTATTCACAACTTTAATTTTGAAAAATTTAATCTTTTTTTTTTTGGCCACACCTTTTTCTACAGCTATGCTGTTTTTGGTTAGATATCACTTTTTTAGTTGTGCATTAGGTAAAAATAGCCACAAATGACATAAATTTGATACTCGGATATAGTTTGGAATAATTAGCATCAAGTATCTATTAGACTTGAATATATTATAATTGCATGTGGCTTCTTCAATACTTCAATAACCCCGTCACACCACACTTGACCCGCAATCTGAGAGTTGCAGGTTCGAATCTCCATCCCACTAAAAATGCTCGCCCGTTCAGCCGCGGGGGCGTTATTAAGTCACGATCAATCCCATCATTCTTTGGTAAAAGAGTAGCCCAAGAGTTGGCGTGGGTGGTGATGACTAGCTGCCTTCCCTCTAGTCTTACACTGCTAAATTAGCGATGGCTAGCGCAGATAGCCCTCGTGTAGCTTTGTGCGAAATTCAAAACAAACAAACTTCAATAACTTTGAGTTCATATCTTTCAGTTACTTTATTTTTGTCCTCACCTTTTTCAGCCAAGTTGTTTTTCAATAGATATCATGTTCCTTGTATAGTTTTATATAGCAGATAAAGTGATATTATAAAATATGTTAGCTATATGCCAAAAATGAAGACAGTCACGTACAGGGAAGCGTTTTTATTAGTTTGAAGTATGATGCAAAGTAGCACACAAACATCGTGTGAAATCATTGTTTTTGGGCTTATAACTTCCGCATTTTGCTTCCAATGTTTATAAGATTAAAAACGATCCATTTCTTAAAATACTTTAATGTGAGGTAAAAGTATCAAGGCGATTGAATAAACCATTTGTTCTCCAGACGAGCGTAAACTTTTACAAAATTTTAGCGAAACGTTTGCTTATTTTTGCCCATTTCTCAGACAATAGTTGAGTTACTAAACCAAATTTATTATCAAGCTAGGGGACGACATATGCCAGCTTTGTACTAAATTTGAAAGAAATTAATTAAAGGGAATATTGTTTTTTACATTGTTGCGAAGTAGACGAAGAATTTCAGGCTAAATTTGGCCTACTGTAAAACGATAATGATTAAAGCAATTTAGTATCTGAGGTAAGGAGATCTGGGAGACTCATCACACAACGTTTTGGTCAACGGGTGCAATTATACGGATGGTTGAAAAACCCAAAATTTTCATTCCTGTTAACAACACACTGGGTGTCGTGCGGTTCAGTTTGGTTTTGTTTTTTTTTGGCCGAACGAATAAAAATGTGTTGTCTTAGGTACCTTAGCAGCGTCTAAAGTTAGCAGTACGGGGTTTAATAACTTGGCAGGCCTTCCAAGAAACTATCGTTCTGAGTTTACATACTGTCTCGACCTTTATGGCTGAGAAATTACTTGTCTTTGTTAAGTATTGTGTTAATAAAAAAAAAAACGTGTGACGTTTACAATCGAGTGTGTAGTTTACACCAAATAAGGTTTCATGGTGTAATTTATACCGAAGAATTTTATTGTATATTTATAGCGTAATAGCTATTATGCATTTTCTACCACACCACGTTTATGATCAAGTATGTTATGAGGACATGTTTGTAACCACGGGGACCGGCATGGCCAGGTGGTTAGGGAGCTCGACTCGCCATCTGCTGGTCGCGGTTTCGAATCCCTGTCCCATCAAACATGTTCGCCCTTTCAGCCGTGGGGGCGTTACAATGTGACGGTTAATCCCACTATTCGTTGGTAAAAGAGTAGCCCAGAGTTGGAAGTGGGTGGTGATGACTAGCTGCCTTCACTGTAATCTTACACTGCTACACAGATAGCCCTCGTGTAACTTTGAGCGAAATTCAAAACAAACAAAGAAACAAGTAACCACGTATGTGTTTTTTGCAAGATAATGTTAATTGTGTATTTTCTACTAGGTCACTTTTATAACAAAGCACTTTTTTCCAAGTCACATTTATAACCAAATACTGATTTAGATCACATTAATAGCGAATTTTGTGCTTAGATCATGTTAATAATGAAATACATATTTTTACGTGATGTTTTTTATTACATTTATAATTACATGTGTACTTTATGTAATTTCACGATCAAGTGCATATTTTTTGCAAGGTAACATTTGTTGTATTATTTGCTATGGCCCGGCATGGCCAGGTGGTTAAGGCACTCGACTCACAATCTGAGAGTCGCGGATTCGAATCCCCGTCACACCAAACATGCTCGCCCTTTCAGCCGTGGGGGCGTTATAATGTGACGGTCAATCCCACTATTCGTTGGTAAAAGAGTAGCCAAGAGTGGCGGTGGGCGGTGATGACT